AAAAAATAATAAAATACAAAAATAAAAATATAAGAAATCACACACAACCTATAAATAACAAACCTTAAACCAAACAAATATTACACACACAGCCAGCAACTTTTTTCCTTCCATGCACTTTTTGATAACAATGTGTATTTATAACTTCAAATTTTGATTCTCTTTAGTTTTCTTTTTCCTTTTCTAATGGTGATTTTCAAGCCATAGTTTTTGTTTATTATATAGATATTTTTTAACTTCAAACTTCAAATTTAACATCATAAGAATCATAATTTAAAAGTATAGACACTAATATATTAAAATAGATACAATACCATCAATTACTATTTTTTTTTAACAAACCGAAACAGAAAACAGAGGATTAAAGAGATTATGAGTTTCAAAACCTTGACATCTTTTTTGAATGACTTTTATTTAGTTATTTAATTATTTTCATTCTTTATTTTTTGGTACATATTTTTTGTTTTTTATTGTTAATTATTTAATTGATTTAATTTTTTAATAGTACATAGATTTGAATTCTTGATATGAAACTAAATTTTAATTCTCTATTGTTATTTTAGGTTATATTTAAAGTTAGATTGTAATAAATAATATTTTATTAAAATTTTACTAATTTTATTTAAGTTTAAATTGAAAGTAAATAATATTTTATTAAATTTAATTTAGAAAAAAATTTAAGTAAAATATCATTTAATAAGAATATAAGTATATACCTGCAAGTTATTTGGTACTTGTTGGGTTAAGTATCAAGTATAGGTTTTTAAGTATTTGACTAAGTAATAAATCTAAAAAATTATATCCAAAAATTTTTAATCAAATACCAAATATATGACTGTACCTGAAAATGCTCTTTTAAGAAGAAATTTCCGGTTTCTGCGAAAAGGATCTCCGAATACTTAAAGGAGCCCAGCCCAGAACTGAGAGCCCACATCCAGTTTTGAAATGGTCCAATTCCGGGTGGGTCCTCTTTTTCTTCTTTTTTATTTTTATGAAAGTGAATAAAAATGGTTTTATTTTGTAATCTTCTGCTCTGTTAGACTGGACTGGCCCATTGAGCTCAGGCCATGGACGTTTTATCTATGATATAAATGGACACATTGGAAGAATTGAACCTTATGAAATCAGAAGCCCAAGTTTAAAAATGATTATGGGCTATATTTTTAGAACATGTATTGAGGCCCAGCTTACCAGGCCGGTTCTCCTCCTTAGTCCCTTAGTTAATCTCTCATGGCCCATGGTCCGATTAATTTAAGAGTTGAACCTCAACTGAGAATTTCTATTTTTTTTTTCTTTTTTCTTTTTTGTTTTCTGTTCTTTTGAACTTGGGAAATGGGGATATTTGAGGGAGTGGAAATAGATCCATGATGGAGTGGGTGGATGGGTGACTATTCTTCACTCACTCTGCCCCAGGATCTTATTCTCTAGGGTTTGATGCTAGGACTTTCCAGACCTTAGAATATATATATATATATATATATCTTTAATTACTAAACCAATGTTTCATTAGTCTTTTTT